TATGCCCACACACACACACACACACACAAACAACACACACATATGCCCACACACACACACACACACACACAGAATTTTAGAGAGTAGCATACAAACAAAACAAACAAATAAATAAGAAAGAAGGAGCAAACCCCTCCACAGCACCCACCCAAAACCCACTGAATGTGTTTGTTTTTTTTCTAAGCCAAGAAAGAGTTTTTCAGGCACTTTCAACACAATCAGGTTATACAATGATATGAGTCGTTCATGTTATGTACTCACAGGTTTGAGCATGGGTTGTAAGCGGGTGAGGCACATGACTACAGCCTCGATCAACGTCAAGTCCATGTACGACTCCAGCGCCTGGGGGGAGAGAGAGAGCGGGAAAGTTTAAGTTCAGGTTTTTTTAGTAAGAGTTTTATGGCACTTGCAACACAATAAGATCATATAAGTGCTGAAGATTAGAGGTGTTACAAGAGAGTAAGAAACAAAAAAGAAGGAGGGGAGATCGAGATGATAGATTTTTTATAGGAGAGAAGGAGCTAACCATGCCAGAGCACCCGCAAACCATCCACGGAGAGAGAGAGAGAGGACATATGACATGTAGGACTAGGACATAGTGTTGTGTAGGACACAAAAAAAAAGGTCAAATGGTATAGATTTAACGCCCCTATCAACGCTATTAGGTTATTTAAGGGGCGGGACCTCCTAGTTTAACGTCCGTCTCCGATAGGACCGAGCCAAGTGGGAAGTTTGTGTAAAGTGCCTTTCCCAAGGACACAACGTCGGACTGAGCTGAGGCTCGAACCCGCGAACCCGCAATCTCCCGATTACGAGTCCGGTAGCCACTAGGCTACCGACGCCACTGTGTAGGACACAGTGGTGTGTAGAACACAATGGCATGTAGAACACAGATGCGTGTAGAAGAGGGGCGTGTAGCACACAGAGGTGTATTGGAGAGTAGTGTGTACAACACAGAGATGTACAGGACACAGTGGCGTGTAGGACACAATGGTATGTAGAACAGAGTGGCGTGTAGGACACAATGGTATGTAGAACACAGAGGCGTGTAGGACACAATGGTATGTAGAACACAGAGGCGTGTAGGACACAATGGCATGTAGAACACAGAGGCGTGTAGGACACAATGGCATGTAGAACACAGAGGCGTGTAGGACATAATGGTATGTAAAACACAGAGGCGTGTAGGACACAAGGCTTATAGGAGAGTAGCGTCAGCACAGCTGTATCAAAGAGAAAAAGACCTAGTCCCTGATGTGGGGGAGGAGAGAGGACACGTGGCGTGGCGTGTAGGAGACAGGGCAGAGAGAGGACATGCATGCACACACACAAAGAGAGACACCAT